CCCTGTACTCCTCTTGAGTCGCCTGCCCTTTCTTCCATAGATGGTAGACCCTCCTGTTTTTCCTGAGTCCCAGCAAGAGCTCCCTGTTCAGCCAGGATGGTCATCTTCCCCGCCAGTTCGCCTTGCGGCACATGGGGACAGCCTGCTCCTGTGCTTTTAAGACTTCAGTGGCATTGAATTATGCATTCAAAATGGTATACCATCATATTAAAGGACGTATCTTGTGGGTTTAATTAGAATGCTGACTATGACAGCTGGATTCAGAAAGCCTCATATTTTGTCTCAAAGGCTTGTTAATAAAGTTCTACTTTTCAAACTTTAAGGATATGGTTTGTTTTGGGGTAATTTTTATTTTTACCTTCCACAGACATCTATCTGTTGGATGAATGGCTGAAATAATACACCAGAAAGTTTTGCTGTGTGCCCTTTTTCTGAGTACCAGTACTAAAAGCAAATTAGAAAAAGCAGCCCTTGGCATGGTAATGGTACATATGGACTTCAGATTTTCAGCCCTTACAGTCTTCAGTCTTGTAGAATAGAGCCCCCAGCCACAAAACTAGACAGTGGTTTAGTTCATGCCAGTGGTTTACTTTTCAGGGAAACTAGCCAAATACAAGCCTGAACTTTGCTGTGTTCAGTTCCCTTTCCTACTGTAGTCAAGTGTCAGAAAATCAGTTTTCCCACAAATAATTAATCAAATACAGAAAGACATAATCTTAACTTCCCTAAGCCACATTGAAGGCTTTTTCTTAATTGTCTAGCTGAAATAAATTAAGATTGCTTGCAGTGACGCAAAGCTTTTAAATCAGCTGTTCAGCAGCTGTTCCTTGCTAAGGAGGCAGAACTGCCATCTGCCTCAGTCAACTAGTCCTGCGTCAGTATCTGGCGTTATGTTGGAAAAAGTGGCCTTTACCAGTTTCTAACACTGGTAGGATCTAGCATCCAATATTATTTTTATGCAGTCTGACCATAAAATTTTTAAGATTTTTATTTCATAAGTGACTCATGTAGTTGATTTCATTGCAAGGAATGCAACTGAACAGAAATAATTTACTTTAAATAGGCTTTAAGCAAAATTTTACATTTTTCTTTAGAAGATACCACTTAGGTACAGTCTAGAACAATATTTGCAAAGCAAGTCAGGTTTTTAGAGTTAGGGTAATCTTGTTTTCTGTTCCTTGATCCTTCTACATTAACCTAACGCTATCGTAGAGTAATCTTGTTTTCTGTTCCTTGATCCTTCTACATTAACCTAACGCTATCGTAGAAGGGACTGGCATGTTTTATCCTGGTAAGAATTTTATAATTTATGTTTATTTGCAGTGCAGGTGTATAATGCATAATTCAAGAAGGAAGACGGAAAAACACAACCCCTAACACTTTCAAACTTTGCTAGTCTTGAAAAATTGGTGAAAGTGGCAAGACCCATTGCCAAGATAATTTTAAACTCCTAGACTGGGGATGCTGCTCCTTCATTATATCAAACATTTTAAGGTCCTCTGCGTCAAGGAGCCAACCCAGCATTAATATTGTCACCAGACCAGGCAGTCGAGAAATGCACTGGACAAAAGCCGTCACTGTTGATGCGCTGGCTTTGATCTGACGTGTGAACATACGGCTAATGTCCAGCTTTTTTAAAGCAGGCATGTTACTAAGCGTTCTAAAAAAGTTTCTCCAACCAGTTTCTGTAACGTCATGATTTACTGACAGCAAGAGCTTTTCAAGCTTCTGGAAACCTCCACAGTTTGCAACCTTTGCTGCAAAAATAAACAGACATCAGTAAGGATTTAAAGATGCTCCAAACCCATACGAAACATGAATAAAAATACAGTGAAGATGAAGTATTGTACATTAAAAGAAAGCTGTTGCTGTTAGGTTGAAAAAAGTACAACTTTGAACTCATTTAAGCATTTTAATACCTCAGACTGCAGAGACTTGATAAAGTAGAAAATACTTTAGGAAGCATGTTAATGTCTAGTAGAATAAGATACCTGCGTGTTTAATACTAAATAAGTATTCAAGAAATATTTTGGTAATGCACAGTTTTAACAGCTACGGCATATAAGCTAATCTAACTAGCAATGAAGTTATGAAGCTCTATTTTAAGTCAGTCTTTTTTTCCCACTGATTATTTTTCCTGGACTTTACATTGCTTTGTAGAAGACAAGGGGAACTAAGGAGGCATTTCAAAAGAGGTTTCAGCAAAGTATGGTATGTAAGCAGTCTGAATACGCTTTGATGAGCAAGAAATATTCTGGGCTATGTATGGAACAAACAGGAAGAAATTATACCCGTTAAAAATGACAAATGATTTACAATTGTTGTATAAAAACAGAAGATTAATTTATACTGAAGCAGTGTCTTCTCTACTCAGAAATGTTATTTCATGTTTGAAATTCTCTCCTTTAAACTTACCTATTTCTAACAGGCTGTCATCATCCAGATACAGGACAAATGAGAAGCATCTGAGGTGCAGCAGGTGTAGACACTGCTGAACAATCAGTTTGGCTGCAGACTTTATTCCTTTCCCTGCAGGAAGGATGAGCTCCTCCAGGTTAAGAAGAAAACCTAAATTGTATGCTGCAGAGAGAAGAAGATGACCTTTCCTATTAAGATTAAACAAGTATACATTTCCTAAATCTTATAATGCCAATGTGTGGCAGCAGAGCCAAGTGAAGAAAACGTTTTAATTTAGATTCTGGCAATAGAATACTATCAGCTTGCTTTCCTCAGGTGTGCCCCTGCCATGATTGCAAAGGTTGCTTCACTCTGTAACTCAATAGCTTGAAAAGGTCATCAACAAAAAAGGCAGAACTACTTCTTCAGAAGGGGTCTAAGAGGTCTCACGGTGCCTCTAGAGAGAAAAGGAATCTTCAATGTTGCCAAACTCAAGGGACCCACAGGAAAGAAAAAGAAACTAGCATAATCCTACCTGCCCAAAACGCAACCCTTTTCAACCTTTCCCTGATCCCTACAGACATGGCTTTTGCAGGAGGACCCTCCTGGCTTTCAGAGGTGCGAGACACCTCTGATTCCATACTTTAGGACAGCCATCCATCTCACTCTGCACATCCCTCTCAGAAGGACGTGAACGCACGCCCTTCATCACAAACTGCATTGTGAGGCCTGATTTAACATGCTAGTTCTAGACAATCTCCAGTATCTCAAATGGAGTTTAAGCTGTTCAAGTCATTTCTTAAGATCTCCAAAAGAACCTGAAACAAAATAATTCTGTCAAATGCAACAAATTAGATCAGCTGAAAGGAAAGATAAGTACATACCAAAGATTTCACAAGCTTCCTTGTCATCAAAATTCTGGTATTTAAGATCCAGCACTTTGAGAGAGACAAAATTGGGCAGAGCAGCAGCTAGGAGGAAAGAAAAAGGTATCCGCTGTCATTCTTGAAACTTAAAATTAACAGTTTCTCTCAACTTTTAAGTTTAAAAAAGTGAGATCTTTGTATTAAAAAAAAATTCCTACCTAAAGAAAGCAAATCTTGATCTCTCAAAAACAACCCATTTAACTTGATTTCTGTTAATTTCTTGCATGAAGAAATTGCTGCCAGAAGGGATTCAGCATTGAAGCAGCTGGAGCAGTCCAGGTGAAAAACTAAGAGGTCTTGGAAGCTCTTGATAAATTCAACTGCAAAAAGAAGTGTTGCAACACTGGTGATTCATTGTACAGTGAACAAAGGTCAAAAATCATGGTTCTTCTAGCTCCACCTGTGAACTTTACTGTAGAGGGAAGCATCTTCTATCACAACAAAAGCAAGTGACACAGATAAAAAGATGAACGGGAGCAGCAGCTTGACTCCTTTATTTACATGTTAAAATCAGATGGCCTGTGTTTTATTTTACAACTAGAATAATGATGGATCATTCTGGCCTTAAAATGCAGGCAAGTTTTGCTATAGATTCATTTCGAGTTTCTTTCACATGTGAAAAATACTCTAGTTTTTCACCATCTAGTGGGACTGAAATTCCTTAAACACCTCGTCCCTAAAGTTATTAGGTACATCGTAAAACCCTATCCAATGGCCAGATATTGACGGTACAGTTCACTGAATGTTGTTGGTTTGTACTCTATGTTTATATTGAAGTAGAGCTGTGTAGTCATTGTCACAGTGTACAAAAAATTGGTTCTCGAGGGGCCCTGGACTGAAAAGTAAGCTGCCTCCTGGAATGAGGCAGCTGAAACAGAAGTCATGACCTGCTCATTGACCTGGCAGGGCAGCTTGTGCATATGATGTGGACACAGTTGCCAGTTGTGCTCCCTCTTATCTTCCCAGTGGACTCTGAGTGGCAAGAAGGGACAATACTCACTCCAGGAAAACAAAGAGCACAGTCCTGCTCGTTCCTCCGTACTAACTTATGGAGGTCAACAAACTTACAACACTGAAACGTTTAGTTCCTTTTTTTCCCTGGGGTGGTAAACTCAAGGTTGAAGCTGTAGGGTAGCAGCAATGGGAAGAGAACATAGAGATGCTACATGCCTGTTAAAGAAGTTAAAACTGCTATTCAGTATTAACAAGTTCTAATGGAATACAGTACCTAAGGTTTTAAAATGCACCTTACCCAGCCTAGAGCTGTTTTCAAGCTTCATTCTGCTCATCAACAATTTCTTCATCTTACAGTGACTTTTGAAGCCATGAGGTATTGTATCAAATACATTGCAGTTCTCACACTGACTCAGTGACAGTTCCTCCAGGCAGATGAATTTGTCCAAATTTGCAAAAAGTAGTTCTGTGATGAAGCCAGACAAGCAAACAATGAAACTGGATTGATCTGTGTAATCTCTCTGTTCTTCTGACAGTCTGCCAAGGTTTTTGTAGCTGAACTTCGCTACCTCACACCCTAACAGCTTTGCCTTCCCTTTCTCTTGAACTGTTGCTTCCTATCCTCCTTGTACTACTGCCCTTCCCTGCCAACCCATCCCTGGCTGAGGTTTCTGCTGCCTGCAGCCTGACCATACGCCTGACAAGATCCCATAAATGCACCTGCACTGCCCAATATTGTTGTATTTTGAAAGCCCAGCGCAGACCCACTCAAGATTGCTCCAAGCAGAAAATGCACCTCTGTAGGTGCCTGCTGGCTTGTTCCCCGTACTGCACTATCCTCTGCTGAAGTGCAGCTCTGCCTCAGTAGTGACATACACCCCTCAGATCAAAAGCCAGTATTGAGGTCATAGTCTGAAATTAGGGGCCGGGGTGGAATCTGTTAATGTAGAATGTCTGCCTGTCCGCTGAAACACATACGGTAGAAGACAGCTTTATTATTCATGCATACGGAGCTGTTCAGCTGTCAGGCACCAAGGGAAGAGGAAGAAAAAGGGAACTAGAGAGAAAAATTACTTTCTGCCAAAATTCAGTACACCATACCTGGCATTTCTTTCTCATCTATCTCAAGACATTCCATGAAAGACATCGAGAGGAGTAATTCTTGCTCTGTTATGCTCAAGTTAAGATGATGTAGACTACATTTTTTGAAACGCTCCTTGTACTGTTCAATAGCAGGTCGGATAACTTCTATGAATCCAGGACTGTTATTGAGCTGAAGTTCAATATAATCCGAAACAGAGAACAATGTCATCAAATTTCTGAGGTCGGCCTCCTGAAAGGAACTGATGTTGCTGAATGTACATTTTAAAAGTGGCATCTTCCTTGTTGTAAGTAGGAAAGGATACACGATGGAGTCTGGTAGATGTCTTTGTCTCAGTGAAAAAAATCTGTTAATGTTTTTTTCTTCTTCTTTAATTTTTTGTGCCATGTCATCAGAAAGTGTAAAAGCAGGAGCATAATCCCGGTCAATTGTTGGCATGTCCAGTGAAGAATAGCAAGCACCTATTTCAGATATATTAAATTCTTGTTTGTGTTCACTTCCTTGTACTGCAACCTGAAAACTACTGGGTAGAGACAGCGATTCTGGGTAATCCTGAAAAAAACGCAACTTAGATTGTTGTGGTGATAAAAATGAACTTAACAAAATATCTTTGCCTCTTAGAAACTGAAAAATGATTGGGGCACACACAGAGACAGTATTACTCTTATAAGCTATAGAAGTGGCAAAGTCCAGTAAATACTGAATGAAAAATGGCAGAAGCAGTTCTGGATCAAGGAAACTTAACTGGTCAATGAAGGCCATTCTTAATGGAAGGTCTGAATGGTGCTGCAGATGCTCATAATTTTCTGACTGGCTTTCCAATGCCTCCTTGCAGTTAATCAATTTAAATAAATAGGATATAACTTGGGGGACTGCTTTGGAAGAAAAGCTACAAGTGTAAACCAATAAAAAATTATAGCGCCCAGCAACTTTTCTGAATGTGTTGATTTGCTGCAAGTACTGCAGCCCTCGCTCCAGTTTTTCTTTTTCATCAGAAACCAGGAGCTCACTCAGTCTTCTCCCTGAAAGAAATTCCTGGAACAAGGGGTGAAAGAATTTATAAACTGGATGAAGCCTTTGAGCAGTAAATTTGCTCAGTAAACCCAGCCTAAGAGCTTCATCTCCATCAACACCTGCTTCAGACAGATCATACTCCGTGAAATCAAAGGCCAGCTTAAAAAGACCGGTTAAGGCAAGCTCACCACATGAGGAAAACATAGCCAGTACATGTTCTCTTTCTTCACTATATTTTAGTAAGTGGTAGAGCAAATAGGCTTTGAAAATAGCCTTATCGCTGATTATGTTACCCTTTGGGTGCTGTACCCAATACGCTGCGAGAGACACGGTAAAAAGAGGTGTCTTTAGAATGGTCTGCATAGACTTTTCAATCTCCAGCTGAACGATAAGCTGCTCCACAAGGTCGACATTGTAGGAGAACAATTTCTTTAGTACATACAGAGTGCTGGACAAAGGGAACTCTGCAATGCTTAAAGTGGTGCTTGCATACTTGCGAATTTCTCTCATCCTGTTAGTACGGACGGCAACAACCAAACAATGCTGGTAGAGATGATTCCTTTGTATAAGTTCTTCTACAGTTTGGGGCACTGAATTCATCTCACTGTAGTCATCCAAAAGAAATAAGACCTGGTTTTTCAGTGGCTGAACTACATCTCTTAGAGTTGTTTCTGTTAATGATCCCCCAAATCCTACCGGTTGATTGCGTATAATATCAGCTATGCTCTGATTTGGTCTTGCATGAGTCAAGGAGAGATAAAATACAAACTTAAACCTGCTTAGGATGGGGCAGCAGCCTGAGGCCCAAAGAAGAGCTATTTTCCTGAGCAATGCTGTTTTTCCACTTCCTGCTTCACCTTCCAGCACAATGGTGGAGTTAAGGTTCGCAAGGATTTCATGAAGAAAGAGCTGCTGTACTGGCTGATCATTAATATCCTTTGAGATAACTGATAGGTCCCCATAAAGTAATTTCAAGTCAATAGCCAAATGGTTTGAATTCCCAAAAGAAAACAATTTGCTGAAGCTCTTATCATTGTAAGCCTTTGTAAGTTGGTTGGTCAAGTTCTTTACTTCTTGAAGACACTGACTTTCAACAAGTGTCATGTCTGCAAAAAGGATGACATTAAATAATAAAACATAGTGAACAGTTAATTCTGTAAATAAAAGTCAAATGTAGTCAGCTGTCCATTAAACCGGAGTAATAAGAACCTGAGATTTTCTAGATGACGGAAAAAAATGATATCACTTCTTCTGGATAAACCCAGTTCTCAGTGTTTCTCTTTGTCCTACTCAGCTGGGTTTGCACCATCTGGTTTGATGTGGAGTTAGTTTGTGTGTAGAAGTAATCAAGTGATAAAATGGAGCTAAAAAGCTTTGCTGGACCTGACCTAGCTCTGTGCAGAGACATACTGGTATCTCAGTGCAATGATCCCTAGACTTCCATGGTCTGGAAAGAATAATTAGCTTAGATGCAGCACTGTGTCCATAAACAACTGAATTGCCAGCCTCACAAGCTGTGAAGTTGCCACCATGCAGACAAAGTAGTGTTAAACTTGACATAAACATCCCTTCTGGACCCACATCAGCTTCCTACAGAGCCGCTGAGTCTCTGCACCACACTATCTAAGGCTGTTGCTCTGCCAGGGTTTCTAAGTTCTGGTACAGAGCATCGATTCTGGATAGAATCAGCTGTGTTGTCTGTGTCCATAGTACAGTTTATCCACCAAATAGATAATCTGCCCCAAAAAGAATGTGTGGGGGCTGTACTTTGGTATTCCTGAACAGCTGATGTTAAGGTAAATGTACATTTACATCGATGTAATTATACAGATGTGCACTATATGTATTGCCAAAAAAACCCTACAGTAATCTGTTATCTAAATGAAGCAGTACCATTTTATTCTTTGCATATTCAAAAGTACAATGAACTCCAGAAATGCTCACTGGCTCCTCCTGCACTTGATAGAATCATAGGATGGGTTGGGTTGGGTTGGGAGGGACCTTAAAGATCAACTGGTTCCAACCCCCCTGCCATAAGCAGGGGCATCTTCCACTAGACCAGGTTGCTCAAAGCCCCATCCAACCTGGCCTTGAACACTGCCAGGGACGGGGCAGCCACAGCTTCTCTGGGCAACCTGTTCCAGTGTTTCACCACCCGCGCAATAAAGAATTTCTTCCTTATATCTAATCTAAATCTAGCCTCTTTCAGCTTGAAGACATTACCCCTTGTCCTATCACTCCATGCCCTTGTAAAAAGTCCCTCTCCAGCTTTTGTGTAGGCCCACTTCAGGTACTGGCAGGCTGCCCAAAGGTCTCCCCGGAGCCTTCTCTTCTCCAGGCTGAACAGCCCCAACTCCCTCAGCCTTTCCTCACAGCAGAGGTGTTCCAGCCCTCTGACCATTTTTGTGGCCTCCTCTGGACCCGCTCCAACAGTTCCATGTCCTTCCTGTGCTGAGGGCTCCAGAGCTGGACACAGGACTCCAGGTGGGGTCTCCAACAAGAGATGACACCAGAGAGCTCTTTTTCTGAAGAATTTCAGACAAGATAGGGTATATTTATGCTATAGCCTGGGCAACTAGGACTTCCTACCAGAAACAGCCCCAGTCACTTTCAGTAAAATGGAAATGTACATATTGTTTAATATAAAGAATGAACAAACATCTTCATTAATACACTGGCAACTATGACTTTTACTCTTCTGTCATTTCAGTACCATGAGGTTTAAAACTACTAATATGCTTTCAGAGCTCTACAACGTGCTTTTGTTGCCTTCAAAAACTACAAAATGCCTCCATCTGATACATATAACCCAAATAATTTTGGCATTTTTTGGGTGGCAGTAATAGCCATTTTTGGATTAACAGAAGGCTGCTAAAGAAAGCATCTGGGCAGTACCACTACAGCAAATTTGAATTACCAACTCTGTGCTTGCACATCAGTACTGTTCTGCAGCAACTCAGCGCAAACTCATTGTGTATGAACTCTTCCCTCAGAAATCCACACACGTCTCAACAAAACCACTCCCTTGAAATGGCCATAGTATTTGGAAAAAGGAAGCACCAGAAGCAAAAGATAGTGGAAGGTGACCCAACTTAGTGTCTTTTGTATCTAAAAGCATGTACATATGATATGTAGTACGCAGCTGCTATACATTTGCAATTTTCCAAGACATGAATGAAAAAAATCATACCATATTGTCACAATATGATTTAGTTTGTTTATGTGCCTTGTCTGCACAGAAGTGACTTTTCACCTGCTAATTCACAGATTACAAAAGCAAGCAGTAGCTGAGTTTCTCTACTATTTGTTGTCCCTATACATGGACAATCCATAAATCCTAACTCAGTCCTTACTTCAATGAAAATTTTGTCTGACTAAGTAAGGGCCAAATCCAGAAAACCATTAACAATCATCTCAAACTAAAATATAAATTCAACACCGCCATCCTTTCAAGTGAGGCTGCACAGTACTTACCAGCTCCTACAGAATGTAGGGTTGCTTTCTCTTCAAGATTTGCTTTATAGGGAGTTTGCTAGAACAAAAATTAATCCAGTTATACTCCCTTAAATATTTATTATTTAGTTCAAACTGCGTTGCGTAGGTACCAGCAAGCATCAGCAGCTACAAGGGCAATTTACAACAGATCCAGTACTAGCTCTGTATTTTTCAACACTGGCAAAATTCTTTTGCTCCTTCCAGAAGCAGGACCTCAGCCACAATGCCCCTCTGTATCTCTCTCTCTCCCCTGTAAGCGTCTTCCACACCAGGGTCTTGCTGCCTGCCTACCACGGATACGAGGCCCAGCTCTGATATGACACAGATGCATAACCTTGCGCCGACGGCTGAGCGAAAGCCATGGGACAGCCTGCAGAGATGCAGGGAAGATACCGCTACGGGCAGAGGGAGCAGGGTGGGACAGGGCAGCTGGCGGCTGGAGGACTCTGCCATGTGCCTGCCCAGCAGAGACCCTTTGTTCGCCTCAGCAGGGCAGTGAGCACGCCAATGCTCAGCCCCAGCGCTCCTAACACCCCATCAATCTTTAGCATAGAATCACAGAATCAAAGAATCATAGAATCACAGAATCATAGAATGCTTTGTGTTGGAAAGGACCTGTAGAGGTCATCTAGCCCAGCCCCCCTGCAGTGATCAGGGACATCTCCAACCAGACCAGGTTGCTCAGAGCCCCGTCCAACCTGGCCTTGAATGTTTCCAGGGGTGGGGCTTCCACCACCTCTCTGGGCAACCTGTTCCAGTGTTTCACCACCCTTCTGGTAAAAAATTTATTCCTTATATCCAGCGTAAATCTACCCTCCCTTAGTTTAAAACCATTACTCCTTGTCCTGTCACAACACCATCCTGCGAACCATTTTTGGGGCCTCCTCTAGACCCACTCCAACAGCTCCATGTCTTTCCTGTGCTGGGGGCTCCCGAGCTGGATGCAGGACTCCAGGTGGGGTCTCACCAGATCGGAGTAGAAGGGCAGAACGCCCTCCCTCGACCTGCTGGCCATGCTGCTGTTGATGCAGCCCAGGCTGCAAGCCCACATTGCCGGCTCATGTCCAGCTTTTCATACACCGGTACCCCAAAGTCCTTCTCAGCAGGGCTGCTCTCAATCCCTTCATCCCCCTCATTTGCACGAGTTAGTGAATAAATAACCACTTTGTACTTCCCAGTTGTGTATATGATCAAGGTGCCGGAACAAACGGACCCAAGAGAGGAGCCGTGAGGTCTCACACAATAACTCATCCTGCACAAAACCTCCCCCCTTATCTTCCTGCAGTCCTGCAGACTTGGACTCGGCTTTCCCTCTCCCACCAGCCCCTCTGTGGCAGCCCCGTGGTTCTCATCCTCATGCCCAGCACCCTGGGCTGGGGTACTTTGCCACCGACAGAGCAGCCCAGGAGCCCAGGCGGTGTTGCACACATCAGAATTTGCCAGCAAAGGATGATTGCTCTTAATGACTGAAAAGCTGATTGCCAGTAGCTGCCCTGCAGATGCTTTCTCCACAGTTCGGGTCAACACCTGCAGGCAGGCAGCTGCTGTTTGGGGGTATATGCTTGAACCCCACAGGTACCGCAGCCACAGAAACACCTTTATAGAGGCAGAGGGGAGCTGCTGCTGTCTGCACCACACCGACGCAGGTCGCATACCCCCGACCCATTCAGCAACCTCTGAGATGCGGTGCATTTAAAGGGCTCTCTGCAATGGAGAACTGCAATAAGCCACCATCACTGCTCGTTCTGCACCCGCGTGTGCAGAGGCTCGCTGTAACTGGAACTACCATTTAAAATTGCAAAGAAGGAAAACTGCTTCACTAACAGCAAATACTGCAGACAAGTGCAAACCTGTGCAGACTGTAATGTTGACGGGGTCTCTGTTTGCTCTTCCAGTGACTTGCCAAGTACTTCCAAGCAGTTGGAACTAGAATGGTGTTTTCAAAAGACACAGCAGTTAGCACAATGCATTGCTTCAGTTGCTTACATTTGGCAGAAAGATGAAACTATTTCACAAACATTCCTTTTGTTTGGAAACTTTCACTGTATTGCTACATTTAAACATCAATTTAAAAAACAGTTTTCACAGAGGCACAACGTCCTATACACTCAAGAAACATATAGTTATTTACATATATTTAAAGTAGTATTAAAGAAACAACAGCAAAACTGTATGGCAACTTTCATTGCAGGGCAGGAAATTGTGTTAAGATACTCTGTCACTCACTTGGGGAACCATTTTGCATGTTCTTCTGCAGGATCTTCACCTTCTTCCCATTCCTGTAAGCAACCTGCACAGTTGAAGCATTGTACCCTATTGCCTTCTCCTGCAAGCAAGAAATTCTGCACTTCAAAAATGGTCATGTATTTAATTTTGCGTCTTTACTAACATGACAGCAGCATAAAACCTCCAACAATGCAGTTGTTTCAGGTTCAGTTTGGTGGCCTCTATCTGTTACTCAAATTACATGCTTTTTAAATCATGAATAATAAAAATTAAATCAAGGAAAATAAAATGCCACAGACTTGAGAGACACACCGTTGTTTTCCTTTTAGTAATACCAGACAAATGAATATACAAGTACCCAGATAAATGCTTTCTCCTTTCTAAAGAAACATATCCTCCTTGCAACTCTTTGCTCTGGCTTTCACCTCAGACAGCGTCATTCCAGTTCCCTTGCTCCGGCTTTTGCAAAAGCCATTCTGATTTTGCAGCTGCATTACTCTCTTTACTGAAAGCCAAACCAAGATTTTAATTATACACTAGGGCTATCTTGAACCTCTGTCCCACCTGCATTGGTAAGTGAATCTTTTACTTGTCCTGTGTTTATATAGTTAACAAACTTTGTTCAAACCTGTATAGAAAAACCCAGCTTTAGCAAGAGCAGTGGCTTCCACATGGGCTTCTGCTGGCCAAGTTTTAAAAGAGTCCAGCCGAACTCCTTCATCCTCAAAGATGTTCAAGACGAGATCACCTTTGCAACCAAAGATATTTGATTAGTTAGGAAAGCTTCAGGCTGCTATCAGATTCTCCAAGCAGGGACAGAACTACAGTAAAGCAAAAATACTACTACAGAACCATGTTTTTCAGATAATTATAAATGTATATTCTTGATTTACAGAACGGATGTAAATCTTTGTTTTTCTTTCAAAGCCTTCAGGTTTGATTTATTTTTCACCTCTCTCTTACACAGGCAGACGCAAGCAAGATAGATTTACTTAAGCAGCACGTTTTAAACTGAGCTTCTATAGAAAATAAATTTTTACGTGTGCTAAAAATGTCAGAAATACAGAAAAAATAATCTTTCAGACATGTAATCTTGCTTCAAAAAAAACCCAACAAAAAACAACAGTCTGGACAAGCTTTCATTGCTAATGATGATGTACAATAAAAACATGAAAGCATTATTTTCTAATGAAAAGCTAATAGTCAGTATATTGGGTTTTTTTACCTGTTGCAGTCAGTAAATTCTCCTTGATAAAGGAAGCTGTGAAATGCCTCCCCTAAGAGGAAAATTAAAAATTAATACTTATTTCTATTATGCATGCTATTTTCCTTTCACTCTTCAGCTAAATGAAATAATTATAATATATAAACAGGTCTAGTACTAAGTATCAACATTTTAAATGCTTTCAGTTTGAGAGAGAGAATTTTCTGAAACAGAATTGAATAATGACAGGTTGCTATTAATGAGAAGAAATGGCTGTTCTCAGACAGCAGCAGCTCTTGAGAAAGAAAGACATCACTGATGCTCTTAAGATATCTGAGACAGCGTTTTCCAAGCATACTTGCAGTCCTCGCATCTTACATCAACTAATGGGTTTAGTGTCCAGATTTTTTGAGATTTTTGAGGCACAGGGGTTTTAATCATGAAAGATCTTACATATATTACATTTTTTCTCATGAAACAAAGTCCCCCAAACAAAGATGAAGTCATACAAGGAGAGTTGACAGGGTATAGATCACCTAACCTTACTTCAGCCGTGCAGAAGTGCTTGGTTTAGCACACTCACCTACAATTTCCTAATAATCAATAAATATGTATAGGTGCCATAAGGAGTTGATTCATCCATCTGGCTTCAGGTAGGATAAATGCTAATTAAAGGTATGTCGCTTTTCATCAATAGACTACCTAGGTACTGCCTAGGCAAGCAGCTTGAATGCACACATCAAAATAAACTTACATGAAACAAATTCCACCTAGAGTGCATAGTGTTAATTAGATATGCAATTATATACAGATTTTCAGTTGTTTTCTTAGGTGAAAGAGGGTGGAAATCAGGATCAAAGGCCTAATTTGCCTGTCTTTGACAGTACTTCTTTGTGGTGTATTCCACAATAAAGGAAGATTGAAATAGATTATAAAGTTACCAGAACTCCAACAAATCCGCTGTAGGTTTCAATGTATTTTTTAATTTCCTCACTTGATTTCTTACTTTGAAGGAATTCACACCTATAAAAAAACCCCAAACATTATTCCTAAGCATTAATTCCAATTTAAACTCTGGAAGCAGTGTTTCAGTTATTATGAGGTGCATACTCAGGATTTTTCACAACAGAAAGACAATGAAACAAAGGCAAACTTTTTGGTGCCGTCAGCATTGTTCATGCAACATAGTATCTGAGAGAATAATCAGTTGGCTTTTTCTCAATGAAAAGCCCATGGGAGATCTCTAGAAAAAAAAAAAAAAGTATAGAATACTTGTAAAGTTAGAGGTAGCAGACTTGTACTGTTCAGTTCTCAGAAAGAAAGTTCTGCTGAAATCAAGTGTCCGAATATAACAGCCTTGAAGACATAAATGTAGAGGTTTTTTTGTTAGCTTTCCAGCATTGTTGCTGAGGAAAAAAAAAAGAGATATCAAACCAAATTAACCTTTTTCTACACATAGAAATATTTCTAGGACAGTCAGTCAACTTACTCAGGAAACCATTTAGCATGTTCTCTCCACGGATCATCGCCATCTTCCCAATTTCCCAGACATCCACCACAAGCAAAACACTGCACTGTATCTTTCTTGCCTGCTTGTAGAGAGTTACAGATCTCAGAGGTCTCAGAGTTTTGTGTGTTTTACTTGCTCACACTCTAGCCACATGATCACAAGTACACCAGTGTATATCATTGGTCCAATGTTTGTAGTTAAGGGAAGCCTTCTCCTTAGATGATAGCAACTGAAACTAAAAAGGTTATAAAACTGCTTAGATTTCCATATAGTTTCAGGTGGGTCAGTCTGGGTCTAAACCTGGTGCAGATCTCAGAGTGAAAATACAAGGTAGATCTCTTCATCAAAATGAAACTTCAGAAATACCAGAGAAATTGAACAGGCTTTATAGAATAAACTTGTCTTTTTTGTTGGCTTTTTTAAAAAATTTGCATTCTAGCTAGTCAGTTTATTTGTAAAAACTAAGTAAATTAATCATTCTGGAAACCAACGGAATAAGATGGGAGAACTAGAATTTCTGTCCGTAAGTTAACAGATTGATAGCACAAACGTGATGGAAGAAAGACAGGTCAGACAAATGCTGTAATGCCAATATATAAAATATTCAGGGAAAATGGAGTAAACAGTGCTGGAAGGAAAAGGAGTATCAGATCTTAATGATAGCTTAAGGACAAGATCAAACTAACTAACAAAGAGCAAAGATTTTCTACACACTGGAATTTCAGGCCTCTATTGGAATAATAACAGTTCTTGGTCCATGTTACCAGCCAACCAACCAGGATGACAAAACTGAGTACGTAATGCTTTGAGAAATGGGAGAGGCACTGTGGGCAACAAACAGAACTGTACCCAGTGACTCCAGTTATCCACCAAGTGGACTGCACAGATCCCATGCTGAGATGCAAAGTAAAGATGAGGTTTTTTAGAGGCTGTCAGGCATAATCTCACTGGGTAGCTGGTCAGAAGGTCTACAGGATGGTGTGACTTGGTATTGAGAAATGCACTAGGAAGATCTCAAAGTCTCATAGTGGAAGTGACGTTGTGCAACCATGATTGTAATTACTTAGATGCAGCATCCCCCACAGAAACAGGGAAACTACTAAGAATCATAGAATCATAGGCTGGAAAAGACCATCCACCCAACACCACCATTTCTATTAAACCATGTCCCGAAGTGCCACATCTACACGTTTTTTAAACGCCTCCAGGGATGGTGACTCAACCACCTCGCTGGGCAGCCTGTTCCAAAGCCTGAGCACAAAGGCTGTGTTAAACTTCAAAAACAGGAACTATGTAAAGGTAAGGAAGCTGAAATGTCTGACTGAATAAAACCAAACAACCAAAAAAAGAAAACACAGATGTTTTACTGGAAGTGCAACACCAGTATATGCTATTTATTAGAAAAGACTTACGAAAAGTTACAGGAAATAAGTATGACTGATAGGAAAATAAATCAGATTACAAGAATTAAGAAGGTATCATTCAAACAGCTGAAGCTTTTGACCAAAGAAAACAGAAGGCTCAAAAGCTCTGGCAGATGAAGTGTGAAAATAGAATCAGGCAGGCTGGAAAAAAAAAAAAAAAAAGGCCACGATTAATAAGCTAAAGGAATCTAAAGCTTCTTCCAGATAGCAGGACCAAAAGGCCAGTGAAGAGAGCTGGTAGAGCCAACTGCTAAGCAGGCTGTAAAAGACCCATTCAAAGGGGACAGAGCAATTGCAGAGGACTTGAAGTGATATCCTCTGCAGTATTTGCATTAATGTTCACTGTAGAAGAATTCAGGGAGATTCCCATTGTCTAAACCAAGGGGGCCATCCTGCAGAAGGTGGATCCAAAATAAAAGCAATTATGCAACAGATTATAGCTGAGTGGGGATCACAGAATCACAGAATGGTAGGGAAAACATAATGTCAATCTTTAAAAAGCAGTCTGCACCCCTGGGGGAGAGGAAAAGACTTCAGATCTGTAAGCCTGGCATGTTAGAAAAATAAACAGGAAAAGTGTAACTATGCCACTGTACCCATGACTAATCCACATCTTAAACAGTGCATGCGACTCAGGTCCCCTCAACTCAGAAAGTACTGTATTAGACCAGGAAAAGGTGCAGGGAACAGCAGCAAGGATGATCAAAAACGTGGAACATGTTCCACATGAGCAAGAGTTGAGTTGCCTACGTTCTTCAGCCTCGGAAAGAAATTTATGGGTGATACAATAAATTACAAAATCAGGAGTGGCACAAAAAACCCTGTTATACCCATTCAAGTATTATAAGTAGTGTTGCACCATTTTATAAATCAAAACGGAACCCCCTCCAAGCATTGCTTCCAATTACCCGTAAAGAAAAATCCAGCTCTGGCAAGCAAATCGGGCTTTGTTCCGCTGGCATAGAAAGGCCATCCATCAAAGGACTGCAGCCTCTTGTCCTCTGTGCTGTACTTGTAGGTGTACTCTGCTGGGATCTTCTCCAGCTTCTGAACACGTATGTCGTACTTTGAAATATTACCCACCTCTTTGCCCAGGATGAACTCACAAGTGGGACAAAATTTCTTGTGCTGTTCGTATGGGGTACATCTGACCTTTGTGGCAAATAAGACCAAGCCACAGCAAAAACACTGCACACTGGATTTAACAAGCGTGTGATAAAACCCAGCAGCTGCCATTTCTGTCAAAGACCACGATGAATAAGATGTATACGACAAGAATGACTTTAATCTCTTGTGTTCATTTCTCATGGTAGGGTTGTAACTGTTCTGCAGCTGTTTACGGACTTCTTGGAATTCTGCCTCCATGTCTTTGGTAAACTTGTGAAAATCAAAGGATGCATGTGGGAAATAAGCTTGCAGTGCAGAAGAATTCAGCTCATGTATTTCATTGTCACCTGTCTCCACTGCAGGGTCCTCTTTGGCAGACATTTTCTGAAAAAACAAGGAAGACTACCTAATTATATTACCCGCGTCTTTTAGATAACATTTAGTCATCACCTCTGTTGCCTTAATAACATGGTTTCTACAGTTAAAGTTCTACACTTGATTTCAGCTTACTAAGAAGACATAAGGTAACTGGAGAGTTGATATAAACAGGTACATTATAAATCTGACTAGGCAAATTGATACTTCTGCTAACTCCGATTGACCACAATGACAATAGCAAGCATCCTGAAGCCTCTACAGTCAAAACAGAGGGAAAAAACAGGACATCAACAGGTGAGATTTGAGTGAGATGACAGAGATCAGTGGCAGAACCTAAGAGCTTCATCCTGTAGCTTGAAAAGAGGCCTAGAATGGCTTCAGTAAACCAACACACCTCTATCATCTCAATTCTTCCATGTCAAAGCCATGACTGAATGTTGGTAGCACACTTTGAATTTCACCTTAAATGAGGAAAAATACTGAGATGGCAAAATGTACAATGCCAAATGGAAGATGGGAAAGAGAAGTGAGAAACAGGGAAAAAAAGAATCAAAGCAAGCAATTGTTTTATTGCAGTAGTTTAAAATTTCAGCTGTTTTCAATGTAAGCAGTGACTAGCAGAAATTGCATGAAAAGGAACTGGGATTTCATCATCTCAAAATGAAATTAATTTGGCAATGAAATTTATTGCCAAACTCATACTGTAAATACTTCTAATAAAGTGGTTTTGTTAAATGTTGGGTGTTTACACTAATCCTCTCAATTATAGCTTATCTTGGAGAAGTAATAACTTTTTGTTGTTATTAGTGGTGTGGTAACACAACTATATGAAATATTTTGCTATGTCATGGTTCACAATACAGAAAACATGTCTAAGATTCAACTCCATATAAATTCTGCTCCCCCCGCCTCCAAAGAGCTTTGCTTTGTTTTCTCAAATAACTGACGATCTGAGGAGATTTACAATGTTTACCAAACAAATCAATCCTTAAGAAAGTGATTCTAAATCCAGACTCTACAACCTGTTGTTTTTACTCTTTTTAACTGCTTATAAAAGTCATTTTCCTCTCACAGGAAAATGTGCGGTAAACAACCTAAGTGCTTTCAAATCCAAAGGCAAAAAGTGCTGCAAAAGTTGTAAAAGTCTTGAAGTTCTACAATGTTTTGAAAGATTTAATGAATTGCACTACGAGCACACATTTAAGTATGGAAATGTGATTCTCATTCAAATTTGATAAATTTTAAAATAAAATTAATGTACTGTCATTCCTTCAGCCAAGAGTCTGCACAATCCAATAATGCTTCAGTTACTACTTTATGGCATTTTTAAAATCCATAAACTACATTACAATCTAAAACTGAAACTATTCCTCAGATTGCACGAGACAGACCAGGATGCCATGTAAGTTCTTCAGGACTTGCCATTGTTATGCAAAACTAAACTCAACCATTTCTTTAACTCATATTTTAATTAATATTATTTTCAGCACTTCCAGTCTTGGAAATTAGTTAAGACCATTAATACAGAAGGTAACTTCTATTCCTGCAAGGGAAATACAGTGCAGACAGTAAAGTAAGGGTGCTCACCTTCCCAAAATTTCTTTGCTCCACAACGCAGTGCACTCTCTAGCCTCGTGGTGCCTTTCAGCCTCAAACTTCTTGCCACAGTTGTGTCCTCAGCCCCGCCACAGCATGTTACTGTCTTTCTGTCTCTTCCCTCAGCACTGTATGACCAAACCGCGTTACGCAATATCTTCAGGAAGTACAAGAACTTCTCACTGGCCTGCTAATAATCTCACTGATTGACTAATCTTGTGGCAGATCCAGTAAACAAAAGAACACAAGAACAAGAATTAAGCAGATTGTAGCTTCCCACAAGCAAAGGAGACTTGAGATCCAGTGAATCCCAGTCAAAGAGCACAGATGAAGCATTTCCTCCATGCAGGAATTAAATACAAAGGCTGCAGCCAAGAAACGTTGCCCCAAGAGTAATTTTTCAGGACCTAATTTGAACTGCTCTTCCTATCCAACGAGCAGGGTGGAAAAGTACAAGCCAAATTATTACTCAGACCACAAGCAGATAATGAAGAATACGGCCACAACTTCTACACAGCTTCTACTTCCAAGTATGTTATTTTGGTATCTAGCAAGAGAAAAACCTAGAACAGATTTACAGTGTTTTGACAAAACCTTTTTTTCCATTAGGAAATTGTGATTGTGAAGACGAAAATATTATCAGAAAACATCGCATCAACACGCTGTCATCCAGTACCAGAACATCTCAGAGCCCAATGCTTACGGCTTTCCTTTGGCTTGGAAAGGCCAAATAGACCACCCCAAAACCCAGAAATATGTCCATTTTCTGCTAGTTTTCAGGACAACCATAACAGTAACAGGCACCGCAGCCACCTGATAGCACAAAGGGCTTAGGAGGACAGTTTGACTCAGCACAAAATGAAACACAAATGCTGAAACAGCCATTTTTCTGCCAACGCAGTAGAATTACTGCATTCTAGACAGCCTGCAGGCGTAAATAGTAGAAAAAGCACAGAGGACCTATGTTAACAATTGAGAATCTGCATATTTAAAGGACCTGAAATGAAAACTGCTTGTGAAAAATAGCATGTACTGTTTGTATGAAGTGAGCATGAAAAACAGGGAACTAAATACATGGGTTTGCTTTTTTTGTTTGTTGTTTTCACTTTCAAGATGCAGTGGTTAGGGTAGATTATTGCTGTTCCTGATCCAACAACAAAGCTCGGAATTTAAAATATTAAGTCAGATACATCCAGAGTAACTCAGTTGCTGACGTCTCCAGGGATCAGTACTTGGCCCAGTCTTATTCAGCTTATTAATCAATGACGTGAATGAAGAGTTCGAGTGTACCCTCAGCAAGTTTGGTGATGACACAAAACTGGGAGGAGTGGTGGATACACCAGAAGGCTGTGCTGCCATTCAGCGAGACCTGGATAGGCTGGAAAGTTGGGCAGAGAAGAACCTGATGAGGTTCAACAAGGGCAAGTGCAGGATCCTGCACCTGGGGACGAACAACCCCATGCACCAGTACAGGCTTGGGTTGGAGCTGCTGCAGAGCAGCTCTGTGGAGAGCGACCTGGGTGTCCTGGTGGACAACAGGTTGAGCATGAGCCAGCAGTGTGCCCTGGTTGCCAAGAAGGCCAATGGGATCCTCGGGTGCATCAAGAGGAGTGGGGCCAGCAGGTCAAGGTTCTCCTCTCCCTCTACTCTGCCCTAAGGAGGCCCCATCTGGAGTACTCTGTCCAGTTCTGGGCTCCCCAGTTCAAGAAAGATGAGGAGCTACTGGAGAGAGTCCAGCAGAGGACTACGAGGATGATGAGAGGACTGGAGCATCTCTCCCATGAGGAAAGGCTGAGGGAGCTGGGCTTGTTTAGCCAGAAGAAAAGGCTGACAGGGGACCTTAAAATGCCTACAAATATCTTATGGGTGGGTGTCAAGAGGACGGGGCCAGACTATTTTCAGTGGTGCCCAGCGACAGGACAAGGGGCAATGGGCACAGACTGAAGCATAGGAAGTTCCAGCTGAAGATGAGGAAGAACTTCTTCCCTCTGAGGATGACGGAGCACTGGAACAGGTGTTGCCCAGGGAGGTTGTGGAGTCTCCTTCTCTGGAGATATTCAAGACCCGCCTGGATAAGCTCCTGTGCAGCCTGCTGTAGGTGACCCTGCTTTGTCACGGGGGTTGGACTAGATGACCCACCGAGGTCCCTACCAACCCCAAACATTCTGTGATTGTGTATTACAAACAAGTCACAAAATGACTTCAGAAAACCAGATGTGACGTACTGCTTTAGACACTACACCATCACAACCTCCTCTTGCTAAGGCGTAGCACGTTGAATTCTCACGAGTTCAAACTGCAATCACACTTTGTACAGACACTGTAAAGTGGCAAAGAGTGTCCTGCATTTGTCTCAATTTCCATTCTTTCATGTTCAGACCAGGACACGCGCTTCCCTTTCTCCCCCCACCTTACTGTCTGTTGCTCTGGGGGTTTAGCCAAGGAGAGAAGATGATTTGCAGTTCTGGCAATTCATTCCAGCCTCAGAATCAAAATAGCATCAGTGTCTTCAATATTGTGACTGTCAAACAATAGTTTGTATCAACTCAGGTATTAGACCGTTGCAAATTCATTGCCTTTCAGTCACTCTTACAATAAAGTGAAACTTAAACCACACAAATACAGACAAAGCAGTAATAGAATTCAGTTCGTTTTGGGTTGTACCTTTAAAACCTAAAACATGTTTTCAGGACATTTATAACAGCTCTATTTGAGTTGCCTTACTGAAGGCCAAGGTGAATGGCCACAATACTTGAAATTAGTATTTAACACATCCCCCAACTAATTGCTCAAAAACATCTTTGTTAAACTCTTACGACAAAATATTTTGATCTGTAGAACTCCACCATCCACCAAAAAAAAAAAGCTTGTAACAATCAATATATAAAATATATTTTCAGGGCTTCTTTTTTGAAGAAATAATGAAACAAAGATGAATCACAACATTATTATACAAGCCAGTTTTATCACTCTCACATTTAAAAATATACATTACTTACAACAACATTCAGGAAAAGCCAGAGCTTTTCAGTCATGAACAAAGAAAATAAATCAGATACAGTTAATTCAAGAATATATTAACAGCAATAAAATCATTAATACATTAGATAAAAGTTAAAAGTTTGCGCCCAAGCCAGTGGTCATGCTTCTGTAATCATCTATGTCCTTCTTGTTTTGAGGTGCCTCAGTGAAAGCTATGTCTGAATAACCAAAATAGATCTATACAAGAATGACACAGATATAACAATTTCTAAAAAGAGATGACGTCATACAGATATGGGAGCAGGGTGCTCGTGAATACAGCCAGGACAGCAGTGCAGAGAGTCATGAACAAACAAATCGCATTCCATGCAAAATGCATTCTGACACACTTTACATATGTAAACCTGTGTGGAAAAGATAGAAAAACAAGTTAAATTAGAAAAAAAATATCACCACCATAGCACTACAGTAGGGCAACAGTTGTGTCACCAAGACAGTGTATATAGACTAAATATATTGCTCACATCACAGAAACACAACTGCAATAAAGTTTCTAACAGCAAGTATGTCCAAAGGGCTGAGCTCAAGTTACCATAGATTCTTCCAAATGGCTACAAATGGAGCTTATTTATGCAACTCTCTAGGAAATCCCTCCTATACTTACAGACCTGCAGTCTAAGAGGCGTGATTTTACAACAGAGAACTCTAATTGATCACAAGGCAAACTTCCACAAGTATGTTTCTGGTCTTTAGAAAACTATACTACAGGATCATCTCTACTTCCGACACCCCTCAATGCAAACTCCAGTGCAGTCCAACATGCTTACATTTTGATCTTTCATTTCTCCCTGGCAGCCTTGACAACACCTAAAAGAAAAATTGTGTATTTTAACTGAAAAAAAGTCAAGATTGTGTAAAAAGGTGTTTAAAAACCACCTCATACATAGTAACAATTTATGGCAATTATTTCAGCTATTCAACTAAACACACAGCATAAATGTTCACGGGAACTACAAATATTTCTGATTGCCAGAGGTGCCCAAAACCACCCGAACATTCAACAGTGTCTCCAGCAGTGAAGAAGCTGCTGCCAGCTATTCTTACTTTTGTGACAAAAAAAATACAGGGTCTAGAAGTACATTCATTATCACAAATACAACTTGCATACCGTTCCCCCTGATACTCCTCCAGGGGAACTTCCTGAAAGGCATCCAAAGGAAACAAGTGATGGTAAGACCGAGCCAGGTGAGGCGCAGACACTAACGTAAGACCTGAAAATAAAGAGACAACAAAAGAAAAAATCATTTTTTTCATTACTCAGTGGTTCAGAGCTTTTAAGAATTAAAAAAATACAATTATTTGTTCATTAGCTTCCATAATCCAAACCTGTAATCTATTCTGTAGAGGAATGAGACAAAAGCAGATTGCTGTAATAAACAGAAGAGAAAAATGCTGAAGTAAACAGGACTTACGGATGCGCTGAAGGAGCCAAGTACATGATCAGGAGTTAAAAATTATTTTAATGGTAACCAACGCATTTATCTGAATTGCACCTTAACACCATTGTGCATTCGTTGTAAAAGAATCAATACCGTGAGATCTATTAAATCCACTTATATTGGTTCCGTGTATAATACGCATAACACAAAAGGCACTAGAGGCAACTGTAAAGAAAATTTTTGTGATGCAACACCAATTGAGCAAATGTTGTTAAAGCAATGATAAGACAGCTTAGCTTTTTATTGAAAGAAAAGGGAGGAGATGTTGGGGTTGATGTAGCTTGAGAGTTAGCACGACTAGGCCGCTTAAGCAAAACAGTTAGCATAACTGGACAGTCCGCTGGAAAGAACAGCTAAGAATAACAATTGAGAAAGTTCTGATAGTGCACACGATGTGGCTTAGCAAAAACAAGATGTGTTCAAGGATGTGGAGGCGGCCTGTTGCTATTGGCTTTAGTGCATAGTTACCAATCATAAGGGAATACGGGGCGAGTGAACAGCGCATGATTTATGTCTGTAGCCTATCCGAATAAGCGCGATCGCGTGTGCAGATATGAAAAATGTATATAACCACACAAGCGGAGCAATAAAGTGAATCGACTGTGCACTGCATCAATGTGTGAGAGTCATTCCTGTCCCTGCATGGATGCTGAAACTTGGCACTATTCCAGAATTAAATTCAAATATAAATTAAAGAACAAGCAAACTGTCAAAATTTCTAATTTAAAGGTTTAACTCAGTCTTTAGAAGTACACTTACAATGCACAGTTGTAAAGTTAGCAAGTTTTTCATCCTCATGCCATAAATAAAATAAAACCGTTAAGAGTCTTCTGATTAAATCTAAGAGCACAACTCCCCTTTGGCAACTACGGTTCTGCTGTTTCACATTACTGGTTAAAGTAGTCCCCAACTAAAAAGCTCCACTGCAGCCTGGTACAATACTGCCAGAGCCACACCACACCCACCATGCCCTGTTTCAGCTAATACAGGTCTGCTGGTTTGAGCTGGGATAGTGTTAGTTTTCTTCACAGTAGCTAGTATGGGGCTATGTTTTGGATTTGTGCTGAAAACTGTGTTGATAATTCAGGGATGTTTTAGCTGCTGCTGAGCAGGGCTTAAATAGCATCACAGCCTTTTCTGCTCCTCACACCACCCCACCAGTGAGCAGGCTGTGGGTGCACAAGAAGGTGGGAGGGGACACAGCTGGGACAGCCGACCCCAACTGACCAAAGAGATATTCCAGACCATATGATGTTGTGCTCTGCAACAAAAGTGGAGGGAAGAAGGAAAGCGGGGGGGCTCACATTTGGAGCGATGGCGTTTGTCTTCCCAAGTAACCACAATGGAGTCCTGCTTTCCTGGAGATGGCTGCTGACGGGAGCAGTGAATGAATTCCTTACTTTGCTTGCCTTGTGCGCACGGCTTGTGCTTTACCTATTAAATTGTCTTTACCTCCACCACAAGTTTTCTCGCTTTTACACTTCTGATTCTCTCCTTCATCCTGGGGAGTGAGAGTGAGTGGGTATGTGGGGCTTAGCTGCTGGCTGGGGTTGAACCATGACAGCAGGCTAGTGTTAGCTGGGGCACCGGCTAGCACAAACTTCACTGCTCATTCACATGTAGCATGAACTTCTGAGCTCTTGTTCTGCTGACAGCTGCAGCTGTGGAGAATCTACTGCTGATACACAGGATCTCTCCAGTTACACTACTGCCTTGCCAAAAGGCAGTTCATGCTGGCATGAAAACCTTGACATGGAACTAGGACAAGGTGACCCAAAACTAGAATTATTTCATCCTCTTGCATCTTGCTAATGCTGATCAGGTTTTAGTCATATGCCTGTAGAAGCTAACAGGACAGCTGTCACTCACACAATATTAATACTACAAAAAATGCTAATCCTCCCTCCCACCCTCATTAAGGAGGGGTGGGGGGAGGCACCACTGGTCACTCAGTCTATTAATATTTGCAAGACTGAAGGGCTTCCATTTACAACTCTACAGCCTTTCATGTGCCACTGTGCAGCCTGCCCTGGGGTTCAACTTCGAAACCTTTCAACACTCCAGGAGGTGAGGAGGAACATCTGTCCTTTCACTCCAAAGCACTCTTTATCTTCGTGGCCTTGCACTGAGGAGTCTGAAACACTGGCGTGCCTGTTAAACCATGATTCTTCAGGAAATTATTAACATTCATATGTGAATCACCCTTCTTCCTCTCTTTGCTTTAGGGCTTTTAGTTTATAACATTATTCTAGGGAATATGATGCAGCTTTACTGCTACAGGTATAGTCCTGGAAGTCCCTTGTACAAAGCTGGCATCCCAGGACACCAGAATGCACGCTTCCTAAAGCAGAGATGGCTTTTAGGTACTAAGTACAGTTGAATTTTTCTACCCTTCAGCTGTCTTACCACTACCATACAACTCATCTGCTCACCTCTTCTTGCTACTCACCACAGATTTTGCATTCCACCGGAAGTTCGCAGTATTTGGCTCTGCACTGGGGACAGAAATATCCACCTAGTGTAAGACCTGGCTCACTGTTGTTTTCCAGTTGCCTAGAGTAGAGAGAGACAACATAATACCTAAAAGATAACACCATAATACCACACAGCTACAAATACTATATAGTTCTCAAAAAAAAAAAAAAAGTTTAAAAAGTTTCAGTAGCTTCCATGCAATAGTTCCACGTGTATGGAAGTGTCAGAAAACAATTGATAGGGTGAGATATCAGTAACCACATCTTCCCACAGAAACAGAACAGTGATCAAATTTTCCCACATGAAGGAGCCAATATATCTTTAAAAAATAAAATTATGAAAGATAACAGCATCAGTATTTCTACTTACACACAGACACATAAATATTCTGTATCGACTTTAAGATGCACATTAGTACTTCTTCTTTCAAACAGCAGACACTGTTTCCTTCTGAAAATTCAGACTCGTCTACCATCCCTGAAAACTACGATTCCTTTCACTGAGAAGAGCACTGGTTTGGTACGCTGATCAAATGAGGCCTCTATTTTAAACTTCCCTTTAAAGTCACATTAGTAAATAGATCAGAAAGACTTTATCCCAGATAACACCCTTCATCATTATCTTTATAGTGATTAAAAATACTTGAAATTGGTAGTAATTACTTCAATATTTTGTAGCACCCTACATCACTGCACAACACAACTAAAACCTACTTACTACCTTCAAAAAATTTTAAATGTAAATTTTAAAAAGCATATTTAACAGAGGTCACTATGGCCACCTTCTGGATGTGCAAATGGAAATGAAACTATTACTGAGAAGTCACAAGAGATTAATTACTTTTTTCATGTTACTTCTCAATATTTTTACTGAAAAGCAGATTTTCTAAATATAACTAATTTTCATTGAATTCTAATCAGCTCATTGAATTCTTATCAACTCTACTTACACCATGCTAAAGGATGGCTTTGCATCTTGATCAGACAGAGAAGCAACAGTATGCTGAGGAAAACCTAAGGAGAACAACACCCCATATTACCAATTTCAAACACGCAAGTCATCTTTCAGTTTTTTACTTCAATGGAGAAGTTCGAAGATTATTCTAAACATTAAAGCCTATCTTGTTTTTTGTTTGTTATTACAGGAGAAGTAATACACTCTCACTAAGCATCAAATTCTTCCTAAAGGTGTCCCTCACTGTATTTCACCCAACTGATAAAAATCTTTTCGTAGACTTCTTATCAACAGATGCTCACTGGAACCCAGCTAAAAAGAAAATGATGTGCAATGTCAGGAAAGCACAAAGAGCACTACATGAATGTTCAATTGAACAATGGTTTCTAATGAAGGGAAGAATATTTTTGTAGGCAGACACCAAGCATATATTCACCTTCCAAGCGCAGTATATGACAGATGAGACTATAGTACTCTACGGAGGCTGTAACAGATACCATTCTTTCTATCACTTATTTTTTACAGCTCCTGTCAAGTGGGCAGTTAAATTTTTCCAACTGCTGCTCAGGTTTTACCTATAAAAAGTAAATCTCTTCAGTATTTACATCTACACATAAAAATATATACATTCTTGTCTGCGAAAATGGGTGGAAGAAAGTGAGAAATCAATGCTCTAATTCGTGGCATTAGAGTTCCCATTCTCGTTTAATGCCAGGCTTAAATTTATTGAGAAATACATCAGGAGAAGAAAAGATACCTAATCTATTTGTTGAAACACCACCACAACAGTGCTCCTAACTAACACATACATCCTGGTTTCGGCTGGGATAAGAGTTAATTTTCTTCCTCATAGCTGGCATAGTGCTGTGTTTTGAATTTAGCATGAGAATAACGTTGATAACACACTGATGTTTTTTGTTGTTGCTAGGTAGTGCTCATAGTACGTCAAGGACTTTTTCAGCTTCCCACACTCTGCCAACTGAGAAGGTGCACGAGAAGCCGGGAGAGAGCATGGCCAGGATGTCTGACCCAAACTGGCCAAAGGGATATTCCACGCTATATGACATCATACTCAGTAAATAAACTCAGGGTAGTTAGGCAGGTGCTGCAATTGCTGCTTGGAGTCAGGCTGAGCACTGGCCAGCGGGTGGTGAGCAATTGCACTGTGCACCACTTGTTTGGCAGATACTATTTTTTTTCCCTTAGCTGTCCTATTGAACTGTCTTTATCCTAATCCACAAATTTACTTCCCCCACCTCCCCTAATTCTGCTTCCCATCTCACAGGGGGGAAAGGTGAGCGAGCGGCTGCATGGTGCTTAGTTGCCGGCTGGGGTAAAACTACGACAATGAACTACATGGCCCAACACCTGGCTCTTACAGGCAATTATAATATAAGCTTATAATAGTTGTCTCCTGCAGGTACAAAAACAGAGGGAGAAACAAAATAGTTCTTCATCCTTCATTTCTAAGTATTACTTTTTTTGAATGGCAGAACTCAGAGGATTGTCATCAGCAGCGCTGAGTCTAGTTGGAGGCCGGTAACTAGTGGTGTCCCCCAGGGGTCAGTACTGGACCCAGTCTTGTTTAACTTCTTCATCAGCGACGTGGATGAAGATTTAGAATGTACCCTCAGCAAGTTTGCTAATGACACCAAACTGGGAGGTGTGGCAGACACACCGGAAGGCTGTGCTGCCATTCAGCGTGACCTGGACAGGCTGGAGAGCTGGGTGCAGAGGAACCTGATGAGGTTCAACAAAGGCAAATACAGGGTCCTGCACCTGGGGAGGAACAACCCCATGCACCAGTACAGGCTTGGGGTGGACCTGCTGGAGAGCAGCTCTGCGGAGAGGGACCTGGGTGTCCTGGTGGACGACAGGTTAACGACGAGCCAGCAGTGTGCCCTGGCTGCCAAGAA